TTTTTTCCTTTTTTTTTTTTTTTTTTGGTAGCAGGGATCAAACTTGGGACCTGGCGCTTGTGAGGCAGGCGGCGGCACCACTGAGCTAAATCCCCAGCCCTTGATTACCTTTTTGATGGCAGGGTCCCAGTGAGGTGCAGGGCCTGACAAGGCCAGAGACAGGTACTCGAGACCTCACCCAAGTGGCTCACAGCAGACCCAGGCTCAGGACCACCTGGTAAACCATTACTCCGTTAATCACAAGAAAGGCTTCGTTCATTGATTGTTTTCTTGCTGTGCTAGGGGTGGAGCCCAGGGCCTCACTGGTCAGAGCTACATGCCAGACCCAGGTCCCCAGCTTTCTCTCACAGTCAGGGTCACCTGACAGGAGGCTAGGGTGCAGCTCAGTGGGAGCGCTCACCTAGCGCCCGCAAGGCCCTGGGCTCCATCCCTGCCAACACAGACACAGACACAGACACACACACAGAGACACACAGAGACACACAGAGACACAGACAAATACACCGGGTCAGCATGAGGTTCGGGGAGGACACATCGCATTCAAACCACAGTGCCCCCCATGTGGCTGCCTTTCCCTCACGGCTGTATCCTCAGACCCCTTTCCCATGAAGGGCCGTGCTCAAATCCTTGTCTCAAGCTCTGTAGTTGGCGGAAGACGGCCCAAGGATATCTAAGGCCACCTTTACCCAGCACGGCAAAACTATAATCCTTAATTCCCTCCTAAATTCTGGTCAAATCTGCTGCATTTGTTATCTATTGATGTGTTACAAATTAAACCAAAACGTGGGGGGGGGGAGTGTTGAAATAGGGCTTATGCAGCCCAGGCTGGCCTCCCTCCAACTCAAGATCCTCCTGCCTCAGCCTGCAGAGTGCTGGGATTATAGGCATGTGCCCCCACCCCTTGCTGTCCGTAGGAACTGTAAAATAGAGTCACACACATATCATTTAATGACAGGGTTACACTTGGAGAAATGGTGAGCCTGTCATTTTTCAACATCCTGCAGGCTCCCTGTGGCCTCTTGATGCAATCAAGACATAGATGGGAGAGGCACAAGGGCTGAGCTGCTGCCATTACACAGCACGTTACATCATAGCGACCTTTGCCGTGAGAAGGGGCGCCTGATGGAAAGTATAGTATAAACTGGGCATGGAGGGCACACCTGTCATCCTAGCACTCAGGAGGCTGAGGCAGGAAGATTGCCTGAGTTCAAGGCCAGCCTGGACTACACAGTGAGACCCTGTCTCAAAATACCTAACAAGTAGACGTTTTTTATTATCATTATCAAGTAGGATGTACTACACATAATTATCTGTGCTACACTTTTGTTTGGTTTTGAGACACTATGTAACCTAGGCTGGACTTGAACTTGCTATCCTCCTGCCTCAGCCTCCAGAATGTTTAGATTACAGATATTTGCCACCTGGCCAAACTTTTACACAACTGGCAGCACAGTAGGTTTGTTTACCCCAGCACCATCACAGACACACAGAGAGGAATCCCTGAGCTGTGATGTTGCTATGGCAATGGTGTCAGTCCTAGGGAACGGCCGTCCTCTGTGTGATCTGCAGTTGCCCAACACACCCGATGCAGTGTGACTGTACACACGGAAGGGGTGAGCTCTGCGGTCAGGAAATGGGGGTGGCTGTGTGCCCTGCTTTAGGGCCTCTCTCAGTTGCACTCCAAGTGTCAGCGGAGGTTCAACTGGGGAAGTTTGTTTTTGTTTACTTTTGTTCTTTTGAGACAGGGTCTCAATTAATATATGTAGCCCAGGCTGGCCTTGAATTTATGGTGATCCTCCTGCCTCAGCCTCCTGAGTGCTGGGATTTCAGGCGTGTGTGCCACCACACCCTCAACTGGGGCGGTTTTCAAAGAGCCGCTTCCAAGCTCACACACATGGTGTCTGGAGTCAGGTCCTTACAGGCTGCTGTCCAGAGGCCACCGGATTCCCTGACCCATGGCCCTCAGCCCAGGCTGGCCTTGAATTTATGGTGATCCTCCTGCCTCAGCCTCCTGAGTGCTGGGATTTCAGGCGTGTGTGCCACCACACCCTCAACTGGGGCGGTTTTCAAAGAGCCGCTTCCAAGCTCACACACATGGTGTCTGGAGTCAGGTCCTTACAGGCTGCTGTCCAGAGGCCACCGGATTCCCTGACCCATGGCCCTCTCCAGGGGACAACTCCTAACACTGCAGCTGGCACAAGAGGGAGACAGAGGCACAGACAGAGACAGGGAGAAAGAGCTGGGGAGAAGGACCGAAGGCTGGCTCTTTCCTACCTCATTCTCAGAAGCAACACCCATCACTGGTCACAAGTCTCTGGGTCTGGTCTACTGCAGGAGAGAGGATCGTGTGGGGGCGGCTGCCAGGAAGTGGGATCGTGGGAGAGTCAGCTACAATAAAGGGCTCACAGCTGGGACTCATTTGGCTTTTTTTTTTTATTTTTTGTTTTTTTTTGGTAGAGGGCTCGAACTTGGGACCTTGTGTTTGTGAGGCAGGCGGTGGAACCACTCAGCTAAATTCCCTCCCAGCCCCTCATTTTACTTTTTACCACACTGGGTCTGAACCCAGGGCCTTCACACTGAGCTGCGTCCCCAGCCCCTTTTATTTTTTATATTTGAGACATGGCCTCGTTGCCCAGGCTGGACTGGAACCTCTGATCTGCCTGCCTCAGCCTCCTACAGGGCTGGGTGGTCCAGCCCCACTGGGAACACTAATCCTTTCCTTCCGGGGCCTTGGGAGACCCGGGGCTGAGGTCTTCATGAGCACAGAGCAGTTCCTGTTCACATGGCTCACTGTGTGGATTGAGGAGGCGTCTCTGGGGGGAGGAGGGGACTCAGAGCCCAGAGGGTGGGCACAGGGACAAAGTCACAGAGCCCAGTGGCCAGAGACACCGGGTGGGGGACCCGTGGCCGGGAGGAGGCTGGAGCAGACGCCAGCAGAGGAAGTGAGTGGGAGGCGGCCAGGCTGGACGATGCCTGCTGGGGTGGACACCAGGGAGAGGCCGCTGGGGACACAGCCTGGCCCTGCCCCTGCCCCAGAAGGAACGCGCCTGACGTGTCCGCATGAGGAGCACAGGCGGCTACTGCCCGGCCACTGCCCTATGAGCTCAGGACGAAGGAATCAGCTTCCCCGGGGAGCAGGCTTGGAGACAAAGCCCGGGAGGGACAACAGCAGAGGGTCCCAGGACACAGCGGGACATGGGGGAGGTCACGGTAGACTGCCGCAGCTCCTCAACCCCTCTGAACCTCAGGTTCCTCCCTATTTATGGCCCACGCTCAGGAGAAGTTCTTGTGTGGTGGTGCGTGCCTGTCAGTCATTTCAATTACTGAGGAGGCTGAGGTAGGAGGATTACAAGTTTGAGCCCGGCCTGGGCAATTTAGGGAGATCCTGCCTCAAAAGAAAAAAGGGTTAGGGGTGCAGCTCAGTGAGGAAAATACAATAAAATAATAAAAGAAATGGAGGGGGCTGGGGGCTTTGAACTCAGGGTAATTGCCCTGCCTCGGCCTCCTGAATGCTGGGATTATAGGTATGCACCACCATGCTGGGCTTTTATCTAAATTTATGCCTTTTCATCTTCTCTATCTGGCCCAGACCCACCATGTCCCTCTTGGACCAGTGCTGTCCCTTTCACCCTGACCTTCTGCCGCCTACCCCATGGTTCTGTCTGCTCACATCCCTCCTCTGCTCAAGAACCCTCCATGGCTCCCACTTACTCAGCACAAAAGCTGAAGCCAAAGATGAAAGGTCTCATAGTTCCTGCACCCTGTCCTATTACCACCCTGCTCTCTCCTCCCCTTTCTCCTCCTTGCTCACTCTCCACAGCTCCATAGCCCTCTTCCTGTTCTTGGCATGTCCTACCCCAGGACCTTTGCACCGGCTGACCTCCCTACTAGAGCTCCTCAGGGCTCCCTCAGCCTCAAACTTTACCTCCTCAGCGCCTTCCCTGCCCCCGTCTCTGAAAACTGTGCTCCACCCTTCACTGTTTTCTCAATACTATCGTGATATGAGCAGCAGTAGAGCTGACTTCTTGATCTTGCTTCCTGACTTTTTGATCTTGCTTCCGGCTGCTGCCACGGTGGGGATCTTTATCTGTCTGTTCCCCTCTGTGGCCCCAGGCTCAGAACACAGCCTGGAAGCCCGGACTCGTTGGCTCAGGGACCTGGTCGGTGCGGACCTGGTCTGTGAGCAGCACTGTTGCAACCTGCCACCCTTGTTAACTGGGTCTCGGGGTCACCAAGCCGTGGACACCCCCCCAGCACTGAGAAGACTTCATCCCCAAGTCCCTCCTCTGCGGTCTGTCCTCAGCCTCAGGCTACCCCTTGAGTGGCTTCTGGTCCCAGGCAGGGGCTGTGCTGCCCCTGGCAACAGCACAGAAATGGAATCTTACAACACAGTGCTGTGGGCCGGGGGTTGAGCTCAGTGGTTCCGCTGCCTGCCTCACAAGTGCAAGGCCCCGAGTTTGATCCCTGATAACAAAGAAACAAACAAACAAAAGAATGCCTTGGGTCCAGCTTCTTTCACTTGGCTTCTGTGTTTGCCATACCGAGGATTGGGAGTCAGGGAACACTAAGCTGCACCCCAGTCTTTTTATTATTATTTTGAGGCAGCCTTGCTAAGTTGCCCAGGCTGACCTCAAACTTCCGACCCTCCTGCCTCAGCCTCCCAGGTAGCTGGGAGGGCAGCTGTGAGCCTCCACACAGACTTATTTTTAATGTTTTGCTGAGTGATACCCACCGGGCTGCAATTGTCTTCCTGTTGGACCCTCGGGTTCTCCCTCTTGGCCAGGTGTGCAGTAGCGGTCACACCTAGTCAAGGGCCACATGTATACTTATTTTTATGTGGAGATGGGTCTCGCCATGTTGCCAAGGCCGGCCCTGGATTCCTCAGCTCAAGCGATCTTCCTGCCTCGGCCTCCAGAGTGGCCGGGACTACAGGCGTGCACCACTATTTCTCACAGATCAGTCAGGGGCAGCTGGGGTTCCCACTGTGCACGCCCTCATCAACAGGAAATGTTGTCAACCTAAGGTCTTGGCACTGCGTTCCTTCTGCTGTGCCAGGCCCAAGGCCCTAGTTCTTCTCATTCAGGTGTGAAGTGGCCCCTCCTGGTGCTTATTTATTAATTCGATCATTTAGCCTTTTTTTTGGGGGGGCAGATTCTCACTTTGCAGTTCATATGTAGTCCCGAACTCACTATGTAACCCAGGCTGGCCTCGAAACTCATAGCAATCCTCCTGCCTCAGCCTCCCAAGTGCTGGGGTTGTAGGTTTGTGCCATCATGCACAACTACTTGTGCTTAATTACCATCTAGGTATTCTGTTTGGCAAAGCATCTGATGAAATCTTTTGCCCACTTAAAATTTTTTTGTGTTATTATTAAGTTCTCTATATAGTCCTGTAAGAAGACATTCTTTTTTTTGAGACAGGGTCTCACTACATAGTTGAGACTGACCTGGAACTCACTATGTAGCCCAGGCTGGTCTCAAACTCACAGCGATCCTCCTGCCTCAGCCTCTCGAGTGCTGGGATTACACGCATGTGCCACCATGCCCAGTGAAGACATTCTTATTTAGAGAGTTTTTCAAATATGTATTTGGCTCCAATTTTTCCTTTCAGATATATGCTTTGCAAATACCTTCCATTTTCTGTGTCTGTCTTTTCATTTTCCTTATGTCTTTTTTTTTTTCTTCTTCTTCTTTGTGGTGCTGGGGAGGGAACCCAGGCCTTGAGCATGCTATTGAAGGACTTACCACCAAGCCAGAGGAAAATCTACAAGAGGCCATTTCTTTTTCTGTCTTTGTTGTTCCTTTTTTATTTTTATTTTGTATTGGGGGATTGAATCAGGAGATTTGCACTGAGCTACATCCTAACCCTCTTTTTATTTTAATTTCATTTTGAGACAGGGTCTCCTTAAGTCACTAAATTGCTGAGGCTGGACTCAAATTTGGGATCCTCCTGCCTCAGCCTCCCAAAGTGCTAGGATAACAGTCTTGAGCCATTGCACCTGGCAAAAATACCTCCTTTAATCGAGGGTGGTGGCATATGCCTATCATCTCAACACTCTGGGAGGCTGAGGCAAGAGGATCACAAATTTGAGTCCAGTCTGGGGAATTTAGTGAGTTAGACCTCATTTCAAAATTAAAAATACAGGGCCAGGGGTTTAGCTCAGTGGTTCCACCGCCTGCCTTGAAAGTGTAAGGACTTGAGTTCAATCCCTGGAACAAACAAAACAAAACAAAAATAAATGCAAAATAAAAAAGAGCTGGGGTGTAACTCAGGGTTGAGTGCTTGCCTAGAATACAGGAAGCCCTGGGTTCTATCCCCAGTACTGAAAACAAATGAAAAGGAAAAGGAAAGAGAGAAGGAAAAGGTGTGTGTGTGTGTGTGGAGGGCACTTCTGTTCCTGGCAGAGGAAGGGTTGGCTCTGCCTCCTCCCTCCTTTGAATCCCTCGCACAGCTCCAGCGCGCAGGGACCTCGGGCCATCAGCCGGCAAACAGGATGCCACCATCACCACACCCTCCCAGGGCCACCTTCCAAGTTCAGGGCCACATCAGCCCCGCGGCCCTCTGCTCCGCCCCTTGACGGCCTCAGCTGGACCGGGCCCCGACAGCCAAGCAGTGGTGATGTTGCCAGAGACCTCGGCGCTCTGAGTCTGGGTGGCCCTGCTCCCCTCCCCAAACCCGGCCCCCAGCCTCACCCTTTCCTGCCCACGTGGAGAGGCCAAAGCCAACACCTGCTGGGATGGGCGAACCCGCGCCTTCCTCCGCGAACATGAACGTGGGAAAGGCAACAAACCCAACTGCAGGAGGAATAAGGGGACCAGGGATGGAAAGTCCTGAGCCTGGGGTGAAAAGCAAGTGCATTTACAAATAAAATCTCAGCCTCCCAGATAGCTAGGACTACAGGCACGCGTCCAACTTCCGCATTTGCAACTTCAGCGCTCAGGGTTGGATAGAGCTCAGTGGCAGAGGCTGTCATGAGTCTCCCTAGAGTGTCAGCCCCGTCTCGTAGGCAGCTAGAACAGGGCCATGTACACAGCAGACACTCAGTAAACCTCAGCTGGATGAACTGTCACTTTCTCTGCCTCTTCCTTCCCCTCCCACTGCTCCATGGCGTAATATGGAGGAATCCACGTAACTCCCAACCTCCTAGACGTCAGATACGCTGAGTCCGTGTCACCCCCCAAAATCAAAGAATGAATTTGAAGGAACAACCGAGGTTGAGAGTAAGAAAAATTGGGCCAGGGATTTAGCTCAGTGGTGCCGCTGCCTGCCTTGCAAGCACAAGGTCTCAGGTTTGATCCCCAGGACCAGGAAAA